CTCCAGAGAGGGGCTGGGGGCGTGGTCAGGGTGCAGCCCCGCCCAGAATCCCACAGTGAGGGGCTAGGGGCGTGGTTAGGCTGGAGCCCCGCCTACAAGCCCCCAGGGAGTCCAGGAAGCCATTGCTTAGCTGTCAGTGACTCACTTTGCTAGGCTGAGGAATTGCGTTTGATCCCTGGGAAGGTCCCGTGTAATGGTGGAAGGAGCCAAAGTCTAAGACTCAGGCCATCAATACATACGTCATGCAAGCATGCACACATGAACATACAGAGACATACAATGACATAAAAGAAATAAAACAAGACAACAAAAAGGCCCCTGGGCCTTGACACTGCCGCTCACGCCGGAGGGGCGTCACCCACCCCACCCCAACCCCCGGGTGGCCGGTCCTGCCTCGCCACAGGCAGGTCTTTCCTACACAGATGCCGCTGAGATGAAGACTAAGTTCTGGGTTTGGCGACGTGGGCGGAGGGCGAGGGGCCTGCTGTTCTGAGTCCAGTTCCCAGGACAGCTGAAGGCGAAGGCAGCTGCGTCCGGCCTCCAACACGCACTGTGAACAAAGATGTTAGTTTAACTCGTAAACTAGGAACAAAAAAAGACCATTAAGACCATTAAGTCAGTACAGGGCAGAGGCAGGTGGATCTCCGAGTTCCAGGCCAGCCTGGTTTACATAGCGTGTCCAGGACAGCCAGGGCCACACAGAGAAACTCTGTCTCAAAATAACTAACTAAGTAAATAAAAACCCCAAACACAATTTAATAACTTTGTAAATGGTCTGTCTTGAGAGATCTTGTCTTGTTGCTAGCTGGGAGTAACATAGATGCTAAAATATTAAGATAGAATGTATATGATTGTATTTTGTTTACTGTGGCAACAGATCCTCTGATACACAGGTATCCTTTCCTGTACTAGCCGGGTCCCTAGGATTTAACTTAGGGCATCAGGCTTGGCAGCAAATACCTTACCCAGGGGTCCTAAATCAATAGCTTTAGAGGGTCCTTGTCATGCAGCGATAGCTGACCAACGCACGACCAACGCACACGGATTTTACATCCTCTGACCCCTGCGGTGGCCCCCGCCCTGCAGGGGGCCTTGCTGCCTCATCTCCACAGGATGCTTTCCCCTTCGGCAAGGTCACGCTCCGGTGCGAACCGAGGGAGCCCCTCTGCCTTGCTGGAATCTGGCACGGAGCTCACAAACTCCTAACACCCTGTGTTTGGTTGGTTTGTTTTTGTGTTGAGGCAGGGTCTCCTATATCTAGGCTGGGTGGAGCTCACTGTGTAGACCACTGTGGCCTCAGACTCACAGAGCCCCCACGGCCTCTGTCCCGAATCCGCCTTCTCCTGAGACTCAAGCTCCAGAATTCCGAATTCAGCCCAATGGTCTGGGCCAAAGCCGCTGACATCCCTTGGGATGAGATTTATTTGTTTGTTTGTTTGTTTATTTTTATTATTTTAAACTGGCTCCAAAATCCAGCCTGGGTGGGGACAGCGGCTCTAGGGAATGGAAGAGTGGGGGGTGGCACGCCCACGGCCCTGCACCCCCATAGCAGCCAGCAGGCAGCGCTCTGTAACGCCCTGGCAGAGGGGTCGGTCCGTCCCACAGCTCCGCCGCCTGCTGTAGGAGGGGCGATTCCCGGTCAGCGCTCGGTTGTCACAGGCCCGTTTCCACTCCGGGAACAGGGGTCCTCCAGTCTCTGCCCCCTTATGGGAGCCCGGGGTAGGCCAGCGGGTCCGGGGCAGCGAGGGACACCTCGGCAGCAGCTGTCACCGCCCCACCCGCTCAGCGCCAAAATTTGAAAAACGCAGGACGTCTCGCAAAGTGCTGGGGGCGGGGGGAAGGGTCCCGCCCCGTCCAGGGCACCGCGGGGTTTTCTGGGACTTCGAGTCCAGAGGTGCGGGGGTGGGGCGCGCCGGGAGCCCCGCCCAGTGCGGGGAAAGAGGGCGGGAAGGCCAGCGCAGGCCTTGGCTCTGTGGAGCTCCGGATGAGTCCCAGCAAGGGAGCAACACGCCGTGGGGGGACCCCAGCCATGAGTCCCCGGGCGCAGAGGACAGGCCACGAGGGGCACAGAAAGAAGCCGAAATGGCTGCTCTGTGGGTGGAAAGGAAAAGTTTATTTCCAACTGCCAAGGCTCTCTCCCGGGGAAAGCAGAGCGAGTGGGGAGAGGTGGAGAGAAATCTCGAGGTCGTAAAGAGAATGCGTTCGCGGGGAGGGGGAGCTGCGGGGAGGTGTGGGGGCTCTGGAGCGTGGCAGGGCCTGGGGGAGGCCGGGAGGCAGCATGGACTTTTCCCTGTTGACAGGCCCCAGGTACATAGGCCAGGGGAAGGCTCCGCGAGTTCCTGAGGGAGGCTGAAGTCCTCCTGTCGTCCCGGTGAGCAGGGCCTGCCCTTTCATGGAGAAAACGGGGCACCCTTTGGACCTGACAAGAGGAAGCGCGTGCAGGCCAGTGCGTATCAGACGGGGCAAAGAACTTCTTTTGCATTTCCGGAGGTGGAACCTAGGGTCTACTTCTCTTTAGGTCCGGTCTCTTCTTCTGACCACGCCCCCAGATTCTCCCTGGGGATTCTGGGCGGGGCTCCACCCTGACCACGCCCTCAGCCCCTCACTGGGGATATTCTAGGCGGGGCTCCACCCTGAGCACGCCTGCGCCCATGTTTACATTTTATACAGGAATAGCCCTAATTATAAGAAAATGAAAGACAGCAATAGATCCCTTGACACAACGTAGCTTTTGGGAGACAGAAACGCCAAGGTTCAGAGAGTCATTCTTACCTTCCTGGCCCCAAGGGCTGGCTGCGGCTGGACCTGCAAGGGAGGGGAGAGGGACAGGTCGGGGCCTGAGTGTCCTCCAGGGACCAGGAGGGCTGGAGAAGGTTGGTGTCTGAGGGGAGACGGGTATTCGTCAGGGAGTGGCTGCGTACTCAAATGAACAGAGGCCATTGCTGGGAATGGAGCTCCCCTTACGAACTTTTTCCCCACCCCACGCCCTCTGCGTGTGCGGACAAGGGTCGCGGTTTTCATGCGGAGGGCTGAGGATCTGCTTTGTGTTCCCCCTCACTCGTGTGTACCCCACACCCGCTGTCTCTGGGGGACTCCCCGTCTCTATCCCTCACCTCCCCACAGGAGGCGGGATATTTCAAGGCAGGTGCGCCGCCACATATGGCTTCATGTCGTTATGGGGGTTCGAGTTGGGGAAAAGGAAGAACTTTTTCCTCTGAGTCACATCCCTTCATTTCTTGTTTGCTTTCTAAGACAAAGTCCCAAGCAGTCCAGACTGGCTTCACGCCTTCTATGTCCCTGAGGCTGCCCCCTGATTCTCACGCCTGATTCTCCTCCCTCCAACTCACCGGTGCTGGTTTTAGCAAGGAGCCATCCCACCCAGTTCATATTCTGTGGTGCCGGGATAGAAGCCGGGACCTAGGCTAGGCAAGCGCTTCGCGCTTTTTGTTTGTTTGTTTGTTTTTTCTATGCCGTCCTCAAACTCGCCATGCTCCTGCCTCAGCTTTCCCAGTGCTAGAAAGACAGTAATGGATGCTTTCTTTGTGGTGGTTCTTTTTTAAAAGATTAAAAAATATATATATTCGTTTTTTTTCGAGACAGGGTTTCTTTGTGTAGCCTTGGCTGTCCTGGACTTGCTTTGTAGATCAGGCTGGCCTCGAACTCACAGAGATCCCCGAATGCTGGGATCAAAGGCCGGTGCCACAACGTTCTAATGACACTTCTTTACCGTATGTTTCAGCGTGCGGACAGGAACGTGTGGAGGTCAGGGAACAACCAGCGAGCATCGGTTGTCTTCTAGTATGCAGGGTCCAGGGAGTGAATTTCGATCATCAGACTTGGCAGTTGGTGCCTCTGAGGCACCTCACCTCCCCTTGCTGTCTTTTCGTTTGATTTCTTTCAATGTATTTAATTTATTCCCGTGCGTGCGTGTACGTGGACTCGTGTGTACAGCTGTAAACACGTGGAAGTCAGAACGCTTCCTCCATCCCCGACCAAGGATCGAACTAGGTTTTACTCGAAAGCTGGAAACTACATCTCCTGGCATGCCGCGCGCGCTGCCGTGTGGACTACCGCTCCCAGCGTGCCCCGAGCCGGAGCGCGGACTACAAGTCCCGGCGTGTCCCGCGCCGCGGGCGGAGGCGCCATCTTCCGCGGCGCGGATTGAATGAGCGCGCCGCACCCGGGCAGCCGAGGGGACCCGCGCGCCGCCGCCTCCGCCATGGCGTCCGTGCCGCCCCGTGCGGGGCCTGCCACGCCGCTGTCGCCCGCGCGCCTGTCTCGGTTGCAGGAGAAGGAGGAGCTGCGCGAGCTTAACGACCGCCTGGCACACTACATCGACCGCGTCCGCGCGCTCGAGCTGGAGAATGATCGGCTGCTGCTCCGGATCTCCGAGAAGGAGGAGGTGACCACGCGCGAGGTACGTGGGTCGGCACCGGGGACGCGGGGAGCCGACAGACAGACCCCGGCAACGGATGCACACGGCTGAGCCCTGCCCACCGGGGACCCCTGGGACCCGGGCTGAGAGTTGAGCCCTGATTAGTGCGGAACCCCCGGGCGGATGCAGACCCGCCAAGCCCCGCCCACCAGGGGACCCCAGGGACGGATGCATAGGCCTGAGCCTGCCTACCGGGGACCCCAGGGACGTAGCAGAGCCCTGAGCCCTATCTCGGCGGGGGCTGGGGGGAAGGGGGAAGGCTCCTCCCCTACAGGTGCAGACCTCTAAGCCCCGCCCACCAGGAGCCTAGTTCGTGCAAACAGCCAAGTCTTGCCCACGGGGCAGGGGGTGGGCAGGGGTCCTAGGGAGTGGTGCAGATGGGTCCAAGCCCCTCTCACCTGAGGGACATTAGGGACAGGTGACATGTGTAAACAAAGCTAAGCCCCGCCCCCTGAAGCTCCACCCACCCTGGGACTCCTGGAACAGGTGCTGATGGAGCTAACCTTTGCTCACCCAGGGACCCTGAAGAAGTGTAGACTTAGCTAAAACTATTACTAAGGGTCAAGAGATTTGGAGGGTGCTCCCTAGGTGGCCTCGGGAACCTTGGATGGGCAGGAAAGGCCTGCCCACCCAGGGCCATACATAGATTTAAAGGACTCTGTATGATTCCTAGGACATCCCAGAGGTAAGTCCCCTATTAGGGGCTTATGAGACCCTTGGGGACCCCAAGGAAGTGCTGGCTGGAGGCTGTCTAGGGATCTGGGCTTTGAGGGTCTTTGAAACTCCAAGCCTGTGAAACTCCCAACTGCTGAGGGCTTCAGAGAGTGTGGGGACCCTCAGTGAGGGGTGATCTGCAGCCGGTTCTGGGCACCCGTGAGGGACAGTTTTCCCATAGGCACCGCTCTCCTTATTTAGGATTATGGGGAGATTTTGGGGGACCCCCGAGGAAGGATGCAGACCAAGAGATCACTAAACGGGGTTTTTATGAGGGACTCTGAAAAGAGGTGTCGGTCAGGGACCATCCTTGAGAGGAATTCCGAACTTTTGGGGACCCTCTGAGGGAGGGCACCTTAGAGGTAGTTCTGGGGGCCCCAAGTGAGAAGTGCATTTTGGGGGCTGCCCTCGGGACCCTTGAGTTCTAGGGTTTGTGTGAGGAGGTACAGTGGAGTTCAAGGACATCTTGAGGCACTCCTCATGAAAAGTACCAAGGGAAGGGTCCAGGGATGATTTTGTGACCCCCCCAGGGAATGGCGGGCCGTTGGGAATTGGGGAATTTGAAGTCGCTGCGTAGCACAGCGTGGTGCCAGGACTCAGATCTGGCGAACTGCTGGCTGAGCGGGGAGTGAGCCATGGGGAGATACAGAGATGGTCTGTCGTGTTCTCCAAAGTGGGGAGACAGCAGCGCCCAGATTTTGTCGCTCTGTGTGACACGTCTGCCCTGTGTGAAATGGGGGTCACTGCAGCAAAGCCTCTCCTGTTGTTGGAGAACCCCTGGAAGAAAGGGTCAACTAAACAAAATCCTGACCCAAGGCTGGAGGCGTGGTCAGGGTTCAGGACAACCCCCTCTGGAATCCTCCAGTGAGGGGGCTGGGGGCGTGGTCAGGGGCGGAGCCTCAGTTTAGAAACCCCCAGTGAGATGTGGGGGCGTGGTCGGGGCGGAGCTTCTGTCTAGAACTCCCCAGTGCGGGGATGGGGGTGTGGTCAGGGGCGGAGCTCCACGTAGAAAAAACCCAGACTTTTGCTTCTGTTACCTTATACCAGAAACCTAGTCTCTTGGAGCCTGAGTTTTGCAGCATGGCCACCGTTAGCATCACCGTCACCCTGGACGGCACTCAGCATTCTAAGAGCTAAGAGTCTAAGGCTGGTTTATAGGTGCGTGTGCATGCGTGCATATTTGTGTGTGTGGAGGCCAGCGCTCAGTGTCTGTTGTTGTTTTTAAATATTTATTTATTTATTTTTGTTTTTTGAGACAGGGTTTCTCTGTGTAGCCTTGGCTGTCCTAGAACTCACTCTGTAGACCAGGCTGGCCTCGGCCTAACAGAAATTCACCTGCCTCTGCCTCCCGAGTGCTGGGATTAAGCCGTGAGCCGCCACGCCCCGCTCTTTGTAGCTCTTTTGTCCCACAGACATTTGGAGGCTTCTGGGCTCTGCAAACATGTGCAGTGCCTGCCCTGGTGGATGCCAGCTGTCCATGCAGGTGGCGGTGGCAAAGGCCGCCTTTGTTTCTCAGCTTTGCAAGCCTGGTCAGAACACAGGGCGGCTGGCAGCAGGTGGCAGGCACCCTGCCCTTCCGGAGCCAGCCCGCCCAGTTGCAGTGACGAGTGTCGTAAGATGCCCGGAGACAGCTGGCGGGGTGAGGGGTACGGAGAGTGGGGGAAGAGTGACCACAAAGGAGGCCACAGGGACGGCACATGCTCCACCTGTCAGCAGTGCCTTCCGCCTTGGCAAGGTGTAGGGACAGCTGTGGTGGGGAGACCACTGGCACCCAGCACGTGTCGCCTGTCGTGTGGCCTGCCACAAGGAAATACCGGGCCATCTGCCATCCTGCTGCCGCCGAGACCTGGGGAAGGACGGGCGTATAAGGCAGGCCTTGAAAGTGCCCTCAAGGCTTGGCGGTAACTGCCGCCTGGACCCTGGAGGTGACCGTGACCTCCTGCTGCCCTCAGGCTGCCTGCGTGGCGGCTCTCACCTTTCACTCACTCTTCCCAGACCTGGGACTTCGTGTGGTGTTGTGCTCATACAGAGTGATATCAGCTGCTGTCCGGGAGGCTGTGCTGGGTAGGTTGGGAGCAGCGAGGGCCTACCCCGGGAGGTGGTGGTTAGAGAAAGGTTGAAGGAGCTGGTCGGCAACAGGAAGGCCACGCCTGTGTCCACTGAGGCCGAGGTATAAGGTTCCTGCAAGGAAACCTGAGCTCAGCGCCTCCCCTCCCTGGGGTCCTGTGGCTGAGCTGGTATGCCCAGGGCACAGGGAAGGCTGGAGCACCAAGCTACGAGGGACCCTGGCAGAGGTCACCTCAGGCCCTCTGCACCCCAAGGCTCTGGCTGGCGTGTGTCTGGAATGCTCAGGCTGGGCCCTGCAGTGATTCTCCAGAAACCCCTGCCAGAGGCCACCTGTCCCCGCTGGGCAGGGCTCTCGAGGCCTGCCAGTTTTCTGCTCCACAGGCCGAGGCCTCTGTGACTGAGCAGCATGGCCGTGTTGTGGGACAGATCCCCCTGAGATGGTGCTCCAGCACACTGAGACTGTACCAATAAAGCTTTATTGAGGAGTGCTGTGGGGCCAGGCCCAGACTCCCCAGCCCTGTTCCAGACACTTAAAAAATGTAGAAACTGCCTTTAATTCCAGCTCTCAGGAGGCAGAGAAGCTCTGAGTTCAAGACCAGCCTGGTCTACAGAGCAAACTCCCAGGCCAGCCAGAGCTACATAGCGAGACCTTGTCTCATTAAAAAACAAGAAAAGAAAACCAAATAGAAGCAATTCTACACAGGTGTGCTCAGGTGCAGCTGGCCTGCAGGCCTGAGCGTAGACCAGGCTGGCCCAGACACGGGGTCTGAACGGAACAAGGTGTGAGGGTGTCGCCTGCATTCCCCTAGTCCTTTCCCCATCAGGAGCCAGCAGGACATCCCCCCCAGCCCCCGAAGGCCGGCGGTGTCAGGCGCACATCACCATCGCCACACCACACCCATCTCCACCCATCTCTCCTTTCGGCTCGGCTGGCAGGCCAGTGGTCGCCTCAGTCCTGTCTTCCGCACGAGCTGCTGTGGTCTGTCCACCGGGAGGCCTGTGGATGGGCAGGCCGAGAGAATGTGACTGGCAGGCTGGGTATGAGCGTGTCTGCGTGTTCTTGCATGTTTGTGTGCTCGTGTGTGTTTGTGTGTGTGTGTAGGGGTGTCCGTATCTGCAGGGAGTGTCTGTCTGTGTGTTTGGGGGGGGGCGCGCGTTCTTTTATTATACCTCTGCCGGCTTCCATCACTGTGACAAAATGCTGGAGCTCACCAGCTTGTAAAGACAGGGTTTCTCTGGGCTGCAAGTCTTGGTTGATTTGGTGCCTTCAGTGAGGAAGGTGGAGTATGGTAGGGTCATATCTCAAACTGTCTCCTTCAAGGACCCTCCCCACACCAGGCCCTGCCTATTCCTTCTGGGGTGAAGGTAGGTGGTGGCAGAGCCCAGGAGCGAACCCCACCATGCTGCAGCGGACCCATTGTGCCCCAGATTCAGGGCAGGCTGGCAGGAGACCTTTTCTTGTTCCAGGCCTCAGTGACCTTGTCTGTAAAGTGGGGATAAGAGCCCTACTGCTCCAGGGCGCTCTCTCTCTCTCTCTCTCTCTCTCTCTCTCTCTCACGCACGCTGTGGTCTGAACCCTGAGTCCCTGCTTCAGGAGCTCCTCTGTAGCCATTGCCCCCAGGGGCCTTTGCTCACCTGCCAGGTCTGTGCTGGGCAGACAGTCTCCGTGTTGACAGACAGGAGGCGCTGGAGCCCTGGTGTATGCTGCGCTTATGGGTCTCCAAAGCGCCCCCGCACCTGAGTGTGCATTAGGTCTGTGTCACCTCACCCTGTCCAATTCCAGAACGTTCTATCACCCAGAAGAATGCACATTCCCCTAAGCCATCCCCCCATCCTCCCGGCCCTCAGCACCCAGGAGTCTGTCCCTGTCTGGATAGCTCCATCCCAGAGCCCACGCCATGTGTGTGGTCTCTGTGTCCTGGTCCCTGCCGAGCACCACGTTCATCGGGTCCCGCCACACTGTTGAGTCAGAGCCTCGCTCCTTCCTGTTCAGGGTTATACCCCAGCCAGTTGGCAGATAGTAGCGTATGTCTGTTGTTGGCTGAGGTGCCTGGCTGTTCCCTTGGTGTCTGGGGCTGGCGGCTGCCACCCTGGGCTTGAAGTGCTGCCTGCCTGCGGTCTGTCCCCACGTGTCTTTAAACACATCAAGCTCCTAGCTGCTCAGGAGAAATCCGAGTCTCCGGCCCGGTGTGTGGCCTGGCCAGGCGGCGTGCAGCATGCAGGGGGCAGGTGGCAGCTGTCGTCAGTGAGGTCCGTGGAGAGGCCTAAAGCACATGTGCATCTGAGTGTCCCTGAAGCGCCTCCATGGGTGTGGGGTGGGGTGGCCCTGCAGCCGCTGGATTTGAACGTGGGTCCAGATGCAGCTGGAAATAGTTTCTCACCCAGGTGGCCCTAGGGACAGCCTGAGGGGCGCAGGGTCTCCCAAGGGGTGAGATGCAGGCGCCGAGGGCCTGACGCTGGCCCGAGGGGTGGAGGCAGACCCACAAAGGGGGTCCCCAAATTAGGGACAGGAGTGTGACCCGCAGAGGAATGCTCCCTGTGGACATGGATGTCACCCAGACCACGTCATGAAATGTCAACACTGACACCACAGCAGCTATGGGGTTGTGCCAGAGCCTGCCGGCAGAGTCAGACAGTTCCTGAGTGGGAAGTGAGGAGTCAAAGAAAATAAAAATAACACACTACACACGAGATCAGCTCTAGAGGGCTGCCGGTAGAAACTGTCACACCTGGTTTATTCCACAGTCCCTGTGTGTAGCCAGAGCAAAGCACCTCAGTACAATGAAGGGGTTCACCCGGACCACCTGCCCGTGTGACCCTCACACAAACAGAAGGAAGTGGACTTGGCAAACAGCCTGCCTCTCCCTGTCTCCAGGTGAAGGCCAGGGTGGAAACAAGCAGCTCTCCACAGGTCTCCCTTTTTATATTTTTAAAATTGACCACAACTTATACGGAGCAGAAGATTGTGCCTGTCTTAGGTTGTCTCTCTTGTAAGATATATTCTTACTTGTCATTGATACATGATTCTATCATTCATGCCCTGTCTTAGGTTGAATATTCCTCAGGGAGAGCTTACTTATCTTTGACTACCAACCTCTGCTAGGGTAGACACTGGGGTTTAAGCTTATGCAGATCAGCTCTAACATTCTAAAAGGCCTTGATGGAGGTTTCAGTTATCACTGGTAGGAGACATGCTCCTAGTAAGAGTAATAAGCGGAGTCCTATAACACTCCATAAAAGTGACTTAAAAGATGACCCCTTCTCAGAATCCCAAGCCAGAGAAACATTCACAGGAACCGTAATAAAAGGCTGTCAAACAACCAGAACCTGTGGTCCATTTGAAAGCTTAGAAATACAGTTTGTTAGTTTACACTGATGGCAAGAAACATTTACGGTTGAGCCTTGTATAAACATGTTAACATTTCCTTCCAAACAACAAAGCAAAGGAGAATTTACACAGGCGGTTACAGGGCCTCCCAAGAGTCTCTGTGGCAAGCTTCCAAATAAAGGTCTGCTGAAAACCAGAATCAGACCACCAAAGGCCCATAGTCAGTCCTTTTTCTCATTCTTTCTGATTTTGTTGAGAATTTTCCTGATTACCAGACCAAGTCCAGTCACATTGTATCTAAAAGGTTTCTCTGCACAACACCTTCTCCCAAGAGTAGAATGTAACAAAGGTAGGTCAGGAGCATAAGCCCAATACAGCTCTCCGTTCACCATCAGGACAGAATTCATGATTGTCAGCAGCAGAAACATCCTCCTCCTTCCAGGGGACCTCTCCTGCAAATTGCACCAACCTTTGTGGGATCCACCGGGCTCCTTCAGCATCCTGTGGAAAAACACAAACATGCCCTCTTCCCCATATTCATACAGGGTCGGGGCCCTGCCGTATTCCAGTAATTGGATCTTTCCATTTCACTTGGGCATAATTTCTTTGGTATTAGGGTGCCACAATCAATCAGCCGCAGAATGGCCTTGTATATCCACATTGAAAAAAAAATTAAAGAGACCATGATTAAGATAATTCTGTGGTGTTTGGGATATAACTCACCCTTTTTTATTTTTTTGCAGGTTTTAAACATACCCAATGACCAATAATCTATAACCAAGACAATTTGAACATGGTGCACTTATACATTTAAAACAGAGACATAACACCTTGCTATTTGTTTAACCCAATTTTTATGACCACAGAGGCTTTGTAGCAGAATTAACTATTAGCTTTCTTAACCTTTTTTTTTTTTTTTTTTTCTCAAGTGATTTTAGCTGTTGCTTGACACTGCTCAGCAAATTTTGGCTTCCATAGCAAGTGATCGTCTCCTGTTAAACATTTTCTTGCTAATTGCTTCCAGTCCCCTGGGCAGAGGGCCTCAGTAGACAAGGACTCTGAGATCTTCAGTAGGTGCTATAGGACCATATTGAGCACATGCAGTTTTTTAACTCTTTTAATTTTTTTAAAAGCTATGGGAGCATGGACTCTCATCATATTACCCTGTCCATCAGGTTGCTCTAGAACTGGAAAACCATAAAACTGTTACATCGTCTTCTTTCTGCCTAGCTTGTTTCTCCTCCAACTCTGCAAGCTCATCAGGATCTAAGTCATCCTCAAAGCCTTCTCACTAATTATTGTCATCAGGAGGGACATAAAACTCTTAGGGAGGAGCTGATGGTTTACTCTCATTTTGTCCTGAAGCCTCCCATCTCTCTTTCCTCTTTCTCTCTAACCCTGAAAGTTTCACTTTCTTAGTCCTGTACCACATACACAGACTAGACTATTTCTAATTAAATTCCATACAAAAAAACATAAGGCTACTCCCTTGTCCCATTTTTACTCTCAAATTTTACTCACCGTGCCCTTTTCTCTCTATGATCCGGGCTCACCAACACTGCAGTGTCCTTCACTCCTTCCCCGTATCTCACGTTTGGGCACCAAACTGCTGGAACCGGAACAGTTCCTGAGTGGGGAGTGAGGAGTCAAAGAAAACAAAAATAACACAGCACACACGAGATCAGTTCTAGAGGGCTGCCAGTCGACACTGTCACCCTGCTTTATTCCACAGTCCCTGTGTGTAGCCAGAGCAAGCACCTCAGTATACTGCGAAGGGGTTCACCCGGACCACCTGCCTGTGTGACCCTCACACAAACAGAAGGAAGTGGACTTGGCAAACACCCTGCCTCTCCCTGTCTCCAGGTGAAGGCCAGGGTGGAAACAAGCAGCTGTCCACAGCCTTGGGCCCAGCGGGTTAAGTGCTTGCCTGGCACTGGGCGCTGCCATCGTGTCACCGAGGCTTTAGGGAAAAGAAAACAGTAGAGCAGGAATTCTAGGCTGGGCAGTGGGATGCTGGAGTCTGCACAGGTGGACGGCAGGGAACCATCTGACCCTGAGCCAGCGGTGCCAAGTGGCTAGCCTTGGCTAGACATCCCCACTCAAGCCTGAGGGTCCTGTGGCCTGCCCTTGTCATCCGGGCAAAGCTAAGCTGTGGACAAGGATGAGTCCTTCCAGAAAGACAGCCCATGCCTTTGTCATAAGATGTAGGGCTGACAAAGGGCAATCCTGTGTCCCCACTGTCACCCTCCCCCCCCCCCCCCCCCCCCCAGGTGAGTGGCATCAAGGCCCTGTACGAGTCGGAGCTGGCTGACGCCCGGCGGGTGCTGGACGAGACGGCCCGGGAACGCGCGCGGCTGCAGATTGAAATGGGGAAGCTGCAGGCCGAGCTGGACGAGGCCAGGAAGAGGTGGGTGGTCAGGCCGGGGACCCCGAAATGCCGACGAGCACTGGGTAGACTCCTCAGGGTAAGCTGGTTGTGTAGACCAGCCGCAGTGGCAAGCTTGGGGTTCAGGGAGAGACCTGAAAGTAGGGAGCGATTAAGGAAGGACCCCCAGGGTTGAAGCCAGAGCTTGGCACTCACGCATGCGCACACGTGAACATGAGCCCACGCATGAGGAAAAAAAGGTCTGCGGCTGCGGCTCCAGACACTGGCCTCTCGGGTACACAGCTCCCGGAGGATCAAGGGCCACCCCGAGTAACCCTGCAGCCCCCAGAGGCCGGGTGAGGATGACTGTGGGGTTGAAATGGAGTCCTAAGTCCATCAGCCCCGGGGCCGCTGCCAACGGCTTCTTCAGAGCAGGGTGCTCGGGATAGCGGTGAGGGATCGCTGAGCAGTGTGCCGTCACAGACGTGCTGCCCAGGGGACAGCACTCCAAGGTCCCTCAGCCACAGCCCCTCCCGAGCCTCCTTGACTGTCCCTTGGGGTCACAGGTGTGTCGCTCAGCAGAAGCCTGGAAGGTTCTGAGCGCCTGGCATGGGTCTGGAGTTCCACCCAGGACAGGGGCAGAGTGGCTGGCTAGACACGCTCCTCCCCTCCCGGCCTGCTCCACTCGGAGGCACCCGCCGCTGGGAGGACCATCCTGGGACACCCCTCCCTCCCTGCTCCCATGGTCCATCTACCATCATGGTAGCCCCAAGCCAGGGAACGCAGGCCCGGCCTCTGCGACGCGACCTCCCTGGGTCTCTGGTGGCAGTGTCCAAGCTGGCCGCCACGCTGTCTACCGCCAGCACCTGCTGCTGCCTCCATAGACTGGCGCGTTGGAGCCTGAGGGCATCCACAGGCAATAGGCCACATCAGAGGTGACAAGGCAGCCAGCACTTCTGTGCCAACCACTTCTGCAGATCTGGAGTGAGCTGGCGCCAGGATTTCCTCAGCAGGAAATCCCTTCCAGGGTCTGTCCACAGCACCCCACAAGGATAGTTTTGTTGTTTTGGGGCTTTGTTTGGTTGGTTTTTTACACAGGGTTTCTCTGTGTAGCCCTGGCTGTCCTAGACTCACTTTGTAGACCAGGCTGTCCTCAAACTCAGAGATCCAACCGCCTCTGCCTCCCGAGTGCTGGGATTCACGCGTGCGCCACCAGGCCCAGCAAGGATAGTTTTACATCCCACAGACTTCACCTTGGTTTATTGGCTTCTAGCCCTCTATATAGCCAAGGATGGCCTTGACCTTTCGGGTCAAAGCATCGAGTAGTGAGGCCAGCTTTCCCTCCCATCCCAAAAACTCACCTCCTTCCTGCATGTGGAGATGGCCTCTGGTAGCTGGTGCACTAGCTGAGCAGGTTAGGTGGGGTCAGGGACTCATCACAGGAGATGGGCACCCAGGCCCGTGCAGACCCCAGCAGTCGGCGGAGCCGGGGCCTTTGACTTCTCTTAGGAATTCCCCAGGCCCTCACTCCTCCCTCTTCTCCTCCTCTTTGGTGGCCCCTCCACCATGCCGCACCCAGGGCCTTTACACTTCTGGCCTGTGGCTCCGCCTCCACAGTTTCCATCAGGCCACGTGGTCCCTCGCTGACTGTTCCGAGTTCCAGCTGGCACTCTCTGAACTGTCCCCTCCAGCCTCAGGTTGACAGTGCTCTGTCAGCATCAGGACCTGCTCGGCCCAAGCAGGGACCGGGTCCTTCTGCGCCCCACACCCACACTCAGGCAGGCACCGCAGGCAGAGAGCAGGCTGGTGTCCCCAAGAGCTATGGCTGCTTAGCCATGGCTGCCATCCATCTCTCCACCCTGGGAAAGCCGAGGCAGGAGGACTGCTGCAAGTGTGAGGCCAACCTGGGCTCCAGATATCCTGTCTCACAAAAGGGGTGAATCGGAAATAGTGTAAAAGGAACACAATCCATTTGCTAGCACCTGTGTGTTTGAACGCCCACCTCTGCCATGTTGGCTGTGCCATGTGACGGGAAAGGCGGGCTGTGTGACTTTAGTGAACAGCCAGGGCTCGGCTGCTGGGCAGCCCCGCCCAGAGCCAGCTTTTGGGAGCTGCAGTTCTGTGGACTGCTGGGAAAGGAGCGGCCACATTCGTCCCCAACAAATGGTTGCTGACACTTGGTCCACAGTGCCGGGTGCTTTGGTCGGGTTGGGTTCCGTTTGAGATTGCTGTTCCTGATTTTGCAATAGCCTGCAAACCAGGCTGGCCTCAGACTTGCAGCGATCCTCCTGCCACAGTTTCCCGAGGGCTGGGACGGCAGCCTGCAGTCACCGGCGGGGACCGCAGTGACTTAGCCTCCTGCCCACCCCTCCTCCTCACATTCAGTGCCAAGAAGCGAGAAGGTGAGCTGACGGTGGCCCAGGGCCGAGTGAAGGACCTGGAATCCCTGTTCCACCGGAGCGAGGCAGAGCTGACCGCGGCCCTCAGCGACAAGCGAGGCCTGGAGACTGATGTGGCGGAGCTCCGGGCGCAGCTGGCGAAGGTGGGTCTGGCGGCTGCCGGTGACGTGGAGAGGCGGAGGTGGTGGCCGCCACCTCAGCCTGCTGCCACCTCAGCCTGCTGCCCTGTGTCTCCCAGGCAGAGGATGGGCACGCTGTGGCCAAGAAGCAGCTGGAGAAGGAGACGCTGATGCGTGTGGACCTGGAGAACCGCTGCCAGAGTCTGCAGGAGGAGCTGGGCTTCAGCAAGAGCGTGTTTGAGGAGGTGAGTGTGGGGTGGACGGAGGCCGTGTCCAGCCCCGGGGACCCGCCCCCTCCACTGGGACCCAACCATCTTCCGGCGTCTGCAGCCCAGGGCTTGTGCGTCATGTCTGTTTCTGGCCCCCTGTGGCCTCTCACCAAGCACCTCTCTTTGTTTCTGTTTGTCTTTACATTTGTTCATTTCTCCTGGGGTGGGAGGAGAGCCCGTGGAGGAGCTGCTGAACTCGGGCGCACAGACCTGGCAGCAGGTACCTTTACCTGATGAGCCATCTTGCCAGTCCTGTGTCTTGCTTGGAATGATACTGGTCACTAGATTTCCAGGCCAGCTGAGTCACTGAGGCTCTCATAAAAAATGCCTAACTTAGGGGCTGGAGAGATGTCTGAGGTTAGGAGCACTGGCTGCTCTTCCGGAGGTCCTGAGTTTAATTCCCAGCCACCACATGGTGGCTCACAACCATCTGTAGTGAGATCTGGCGCCCTCTTCTGGCATGTAGGCAGAACACTGTATATTTAATAAATCTTGAAGGAAAAAAATGCCTAATTTAGCTGGGTACGGTGGCTCAGGCCTTTAATGCCAGCATGGGGGTGAGCAGAGGCATGTGAATCTCTGAGTTTGAAGTAGATGTCAGATGTCTACAGGTCTACTGGACTACAAAGTGAGTTCCAGGGCAGCCAGGGCTACACAGAGAAACCCCCAACAAACAAACAAAAAACCCACTTAACTTAGGCCAGCAAGATGTCCCAGTGGGCAGAACACGGTGCCAGCGCCTCAGAGACTCGCCACTGAGTTGTACCCCTGAAAGCGACACGGTGGGGGAAAGCAGACTCCCACAGATTGTTCTCTGATGGCCATGGCCATGTTGTGATACCTGTGGCAACATCCCCCACCAATACACAGGCGTTGAGTAAGTGTCAGAACCATCCTTACTCAGCCTGCCTACTTAAGCCATCCTGGGTCTGGGGAGCAGGCTTTGGAGCCCTCTGTTCAGCCAACCTTGGGGTCTCCTTACTAACCCTCTAGTACCCTGGGGTGCTGGGCGTGGTGGGGGTGACCGCCTAGATGCAGGTCCGCCCCACAGGGTCCCAGAGAACCCAGCCTTCCCCTGGCCATTGTGTCATCACAGTGCAGGGCAGTGTCCCTAGTTAGGCTGGCCCCTGCTGTGCGCACAGCTGAGGGAGAGCCTCAGCAGGGGACACTGTGCCCCGAGCAGCCACAGGCAGCTCTAGTCAGGGCCGCCGACGGACGTGGCCCAGGAGCCCAGGAGGCCATAGAGTCCTGTGAGGGAAGCCAGGAGACACTGACCTCAGCAAGGAAGCCACACAGGGGCCTGTGGGAGAACTGGGTCCTGGGAAGGGACCTCAGGAGAGTCCTGTGTGAGAACACATGAGGGAGTCGGAACCCTTGAGAGGCACTGCAGAGGGACCTGCGGAGGGACCCCTGAGGCAGGCCCAGCCCACAGAGGGACCCGAGAAGGAGCTCAGCACGAGACCTCTGAGGGTGTGCGTGAAGCGACCATTCCTGAGGGGGCTTGGGAAGACCCCCGTGGAGGATCCTGCAAAGACAACCTCAAAAGGAGCCGTGGGGCCTCCCAGGACTCGGAGGAACCACCTTAGGGTCCCCGCAAGGGAGCAGGTGAGAGGGTGCAACCAGGAGCCTCCCGTCAGCAGCCGAGTTGGGCAGCAGAAAGATAAGTGCTCTGTCCTGACAGGCGTGCGGCAGGTGACCCCACCTTCCCACTCACCATCCTCCTTTCTCCTTCCCCACCGAATCCCCTGCTGCCTCCTGGCCCTGGAACTCCCGGCACCCAAGTGTGCTCCTCGGGGCTTGCCTCCCCTCTTCTGTTGTACTGAAACAGCATCTCACTCTGAAGTCCTCCATAGTCTGAAACTCTCATGTAGACCAGGTTACCCTGGAACTCTTAGAGAGCCCCCTGAATGCTGGGATTCAGGGTGAGCATTGCCACACAGCTTTTTATTTATTTATTTTTTTTATTTTTTATTTTTAGTGAGACAAGGTCTCTGTGTAGCTCTGGCTGTCCTGGAACTCACTCTGTAGACCAGGCTGGCCTTGAACTCACAGTGATCCCCCTGCTCTGCCTCCTGAGTTTTGGGATTAAAGGTGTGCACCACCACCACCCAGCTCTTTATTTTTTACTTTTACTTTATGTACATTGGTTTTTTACCTTATGGCATGAGGCTGTCGGATCCCCTGGAACAGGAGTGACAGTTGTGAGCTGCATGTGGTTGCTGCGACTTGAACCTGGGTCCTCTTGGAAGAACAGTCACTGGTCTTAACCGCCAAACCGTCTCTCCAGCCCCCTTTAAAAGTTTTTTTTAAGACGCTCCGGCTATGAGCCCAGGCTGGCCTTGAGGTTGCAGCATCTGCCTCCACCTCGAGTGCTGAGACCGCCCTTCGTGTTCTCGCTAAGCACAGAGCTCCTTCAGGGTCCCTCCACGCTGTGGAATGGCAGGTGCCTTGCTCCCGTTCATGGCCGAATCATCCTTCCATGTGCGCACGGCCCAGGCTGCTGTCCACCGCCACGGCAACACCCACAGATTGATTGATCCCTGGTAAACAGCCAGCCAGGAAGCCACCTGGAGGTGCAGCTGACAAAGCTGCTCATTGGCCTGTCCCCTCCAGGAGGTGCGGGAGACCCGGCGCAGGCACGAGCAGCGCTTGGTGGAGGTGGACAGCAGCCGGCAGCAGGAGTACGACTTCAAGATGGCGCAGGCCCTGGAGGACCTGCGCAGTCAGCATGACGAGCAAGTGCGGCTCTACCGGCTGGAGCTGGAGCAGACCTACCAGGCCAAGGTGAGGCCTGAGGGGAGGGGAGGGGAGGGCGGCCTGAGGGGAGGGGAGGGCAGCCATTTCCAGGCCCTCTGTGCTCACACCCCCATCTCCCCCAGCTGGACCATGCCAAGCTGAGCTCCGACCAGAACGACAAGGCAGCCAGTGCAGCGCGAGAGGAGCTCAAGGAAGCCCGCATGCGCGTGGAGTCCCTCAGCTACCAGCTCTCAGGCCTCCAAAAGCAGGTGATGGGACCCAGCCCCGCCCCCAAGGGCCTCTGTCACTCCAGTCCTCCTTGGTCCCTCACGTCTGAGGCCACCGAGGCCACACGGTGACCCGGCCACCCCCTCCCCAGGCCAGTGCTGCAGAGGACCGTATCCGCGAGCTGGAGGAGGCCCTGGCTGGGGAACGGGACAAGTTCCGCAAGATGCTGGACGCCAAGGAGCAGGAGATGATGGAGGTGCGCGATGCCATGCAGCAGCAGCTGGCTGAGTACCAGGAATTGCTGGACATCAAGCTGGCCCTGGACATGGAGATCAGCGCCTACCGCAAGCTGCTGGAGGGCGAGGAGGAGAGGTGGGTGGAGCCGGGGAGAGGGCGGGGTCAGGGAGGGGTTGGGCGGAGCTTCAAGAGAGGTTCAGGAGGGTAAGGGCAGGCGGGATTCTGGCGGCTTGACCCTGTCTCCCTGGCCACACCCTCCCGCAGGCTCAAGCTGTCCCCCAGCCCTTCATCCCGGGTCACCATCTCTCGGGCCACCTCCAGCAGCAGCAGCAGCGGGGTTGGCATGTCTGCGGGGCGGGGCCGGGGCAAGCGCCGGCGCGTGGAGACTGAGGACACACCAGCCTCACACAGCAGCAGCTCCAGCATGAGCAGCAGCTCCCGCCTGGCACAGCAGGCCGTGGCCACGGGGGTCGTGAGCATCGATGAGGTGGACCTGCAGGGCAGGTTCGTGCGGCTCAAGAACGCCTCGGACAAGGTGAGCGTGGGTCCGGGTGACCGGGGCCGGTGCTCCCTTCACGGTGGCCAGGAGTCAAGAGCATGTCTGGGTTTCAGGACCAGTCTTTGGGGAACTGGAGGATCAAGAGACAGGTCCTGGATGGTGAGGACGTCAGCTACAAGTTCACGCCCAAGTATGTCCTGCGGGCTGGCCAGACCGTCACGGTAGGTGCCAGGGAGTGTGGGCACGGAATCTCCCAATGCCAGCTCCCCAGGTGGGAGGTGCTGGTTCAGCATATTCTGAGACCTGCCCAGGGGCCACTGAGCTGTGTGTGCAGCTGCCACGTCCCTCAGGGTACCCCGCCGCCCAAGTGATGTCCTGTGTCTGAGGTTCAGCATGGCCCTCCAGCCCAGTGCTCAGGAGCCCTATGAACCTGTGTCTCCTACATCCTGGGGCCATTCCTGCTTGGACAGGCCCCCTGAAGGGCCTCGTGGTGGGTGACCGTTGCGGGGCCCCGGCCCTGAGGTGACTGACATGGCCATCTTGGGTCCTCAGGTGTGGGCAGCTGGGGCAGGGGTTGCCCACAGCCCCCCATCAACCCTCGTGTGGAAGAGCCAGAGCAGCTGGGGCTCCGGGGAGAGCTTCCGCACTGTCCTGGTCAATGCGGATGGGGAGGTAGGTACATGGACGGGGACGGGATCCTGGAGCCTGCCCTCACAGCATGGCACTGTGACAGCCTCCGGTGGGGCGCAGCCCTCGGCATTGGGGCGTCAAGTAGAGCGATGACTCTCGTGTGTAGGAGGTGGCCGTGCAGGCTGTGAAGCAGTCAGCGGCTCAGGGGAGCGAGAACGGGGAAGAGGAGGAGGAGGAGGAGGCGGAGTTCGGCGAGGAGGACCTTTTCCACCAGCAGGTAAGCACGTGTGATGTCACACCGGTGGGGCTTTGGGTCCCACAGTCCTGCCTCACATGACAGCTCTACCACTCACTGTGGCGCCACAAACCTCCGAGCCACACTCCTGACCCTCCAGCCAGGACACCCTCCCCTCAGCGCTTGGGGTAGGGAAACGGTGACTCCGGCTCGCAGTCTAGGCCGGGACAAATGGAAGGGTCTGGACAGGGGCTGTGGGCTCCGTGTACTCGCTGGGGAGCAGGCTGCCTGACTCTGTGCTCCCTCGCTCCTTTCAGGGGGATCCGAGGACCACCTCCAGGGGCTGCAGGCTGATGTGAAACCTGCCCACGGTCACCATGGTCCCCAGAACCCCTGAAATTATTTTTTTATGGTCCACTCTCTCACTGGTCCTTGGTACATCCGTCGATGACTGTTAAGCGACCGTGAGAATGTGGGCGGGCTTGCTGGGTTTCCTAGAGGTGGGTGTCCTTGGCCCACAGGCCTCGCCCTCCCCACCACCCCCATGCCATGCTCTGTCAGTGTGTTGGTGTAGAGGTCTGGGCCGGGACCCTGCCTGGGGACAGGAACATGGCTGCTGGCTCAGGGTGGACCCTAGTGTGAAGCTGCAGTGATTCAATAGTTGAGTTTTCTTTGAAGCTTTTTAAGTCAAATCAAATCCAGAATCAGGTTTAGACTAAGTCAAATCAAATCCAGAAGGAGGGCAGTGGGGATCACTAGCCTGTCAGGACTTGCTGGCCCTCCACAGGGCAGACCCTCCTCAGGTTGCTGGCACAGAGGGGTCATCGGAGACCACTGAGGCTCCAGCTTTGGGGCCTGAAGGGTCTGCAACAGCCCCCAGCCTTGGGGCATCCAGGGCCTTCTCTGGGTCCAGATTCTAGAATGTTCTAGTCCCTTCTAAAGCTGAGGACCAAGAAGGACGCTCACAGCCGGGACGCCTCTTCCCAGTCTAAGATCATCAGTCTGGTAGACTGAAGGGGACAGACCACGGGCCTGTTGCTTTAAGGAGCCAAGGCTGCGGGTTCCCAGCCAGTGGCTGCTCACGGGAGTGTGGCCAGGCCAGGTGTACACACTGCATGCCCTGTGCTCCACCTTGACGGCGTGACCTGGACGATTGCTTCCCTGCAACACAGTTCTGCAAGCGCCAGGCGCCAGCCAGCCCCCACCTGTCACCCTCACCTTCCTGCCACAGACACACGGTATTTTTTTAACGAATATTTATTTTTTTACATCATCACACAGCTCACTCAGACACCGTTCTTGGGTGCGTGGGTGGGGGGTTCAGGCCTGTAGCTGCCGTGAATGGGGGTTACCTGTGACAGCTTCCTTTACTGAGCCATGGAGGAAGGGGGTGCTGTCTCCTTTCTAGCACAACTGCTGATAGCTCAGGCCCATTTCCCCCAAAGCTAGAGCCCGTGGCCACAGGACTCTGAGGCCACCGACCTCCAGAACCCACCAGCCACCTCCTGCTTCTAGTTACCTCTAGTTTTCCTTAAGTGACAGGTGTTGGGTTTCTGACAGTCAGGGTCAGCTGCAGTCACCAGGCAGGCTTGCTGCCTTGCCCAGAAGCGGGTGCCCTACAGTGCAAGCTGCACTGAGCCAGATGGCTCCCTGGTGTTTTGAGTAGGATGGGCTGGGGAGCAGCCTGCACCACGCGCATCGCTCAGCTCCACAAGTTTTGTTTCTTTTCTACGATGCATGCCAAACGTGTGTTCTGCCTTTTCTTTTCCTCCTATGATTTGTAATATACATTTTACGACTGGAAACTTTTGTACACTCAAATAAACACTTTGATTTTAACCATTGTCTCGGAGTTCGTCCCGACAGCAGCGAGCACCTGCAAGAATTTCATAGTACTGCTTTCGCAGCGGGGCAGCACCAGGGCCGAGAAGACCCCGGCCTGGCCCTTGCCAGGGCGTCAGAATACGATTTGCGCATGCGGGGAGTGCAAAGCCTTCTGGGAGTTGTAGTTCGATTTTCCGTTTCTCTGTATAACCCCAAAGGACAGGGCTATGGGTTCACCCTAGGAACCGCACGCGCAGCCCTATGGGAACCCCAGACCCACGAGCGATCACGTGGCACGGCGCGCACGCATTTCTGGGAGATGTAGTGCGACCTGTCTCCATGGTGACTCGGGGTCACAGCTTCGCGTCAGAACGAGGACGCGCGCAGCCTTGTGGGAGCCGCCGCGGCCTCCGTTTCCCGTGGTGCCTCGGCTTCCGGTGCCTGCGGGTCGGCGCGCGCCGCCGCGGCCGGGTTGACTGGGTAGCCATGGACAGCGGCTTCGGCTCGGACTTCGGCGGCACGGGCGGCGGGAAGCTGGACCCGGGAGCCATCATGGAGCAGGTGAAAGTGCAGATCGCCGTGGCCAACGCGCAGGAGCTGCTGCAGGTACGGGGCGCGCCGGGGTTGGCGGCGGGGTCCCTCAGCCGGGCCCCCGCTGAGGCCTCGCGTGTGTCCACAGAGGATGACCGACAAGTGTTTCCGGAAGTGTATCGGGAAGCCCGGGGGCTCCCTGGATAACTCGGAGCAGGTGAGACTCCGGGAACTCGGGGGTGGTGAGGGGCGCGGGGTCGCGATCTGCTAGGGCTGAGGTTCTGCGCGTGCGCGGCCTGGAGCCGCAGCCTGGTGAGGCGTCCGCGCGTGCGCGGGGCCCCTTCTGCGCATATGTGGTTGCCGCGTTAGGCGATGGACCTTAACTCAGTCGGGAGCCTTTTCCATGCTCCGCAGAAATGCATCGCCATGTGCATGGACCGCTACATGGACGCCTGGAACACCGTGTCCCGCGCCTACAACTCGCGCCTGCAGCGGGAACGAGCCAACATGTGACCGGGACCTGTGCCTGTGGTCGGAACTGTTTTTCCCACCAGCGAGGGCAGCTCGTGCCCAGCGGCCCCAACGTCTGGCGGCATGGAGGGCTGGGTAGACGGTGCCTTTCCCCTGGGCTGCTGGGCACAGCTCCGAGGACCAGTTTGAGCCAGGGCGTCTGCCCTATCCCTCCTGAGCTGTGAACTCCCGCGAGCGGGCCAATAAATCGCTGCTGGGACAGAAAAGCTGCGTGTCGTGTCGCTGCCTCGGCTCTCCCCGAGAGTAGGCCCCAGCCTCTCAGGGCCTTTCCCCTTGGTGTCAGTGGGCTTCAAGCCCGAGAAGCGAGGGAAGGGGCCTTGTGCGTGGTCTCGGGTGCTCGCCACCCTGATTGAAGACGAGCTGAGGACACGCAGCAAGGCCGCCTGTGGCTCCGGGCAGCTGCCATCCTTAACTCTGAATAAACCAAGTGGGTGCGTGCCTGTTCTCGGCACTTGGGTGGGGGTGGAGGCAGGAGGATCAGATTGTTACATGAGACACCAAGTGGGCAGGGCTGTCACACAGGTACTGAGCCGCAGCTACAAGAAGGGACTCCGTTTATTGGAACACACACAGTCATAGCCAGTTCCCATCGGACCCCCATGCCTCCCTGCCACCAGCTCCCTCCATGGGGGGGAGGTGGCCAGCAGCTCTGTTTCTAGTCCAGGCCTAGGTTGCCGGCCACACGGCAGTCATTCCTGGATATTCTGGCCTATCCATCCCAGCACGGCAGCCACGCGCGTGTAGACGCCTGGGAAGTGAGGCCTGCCACAGCCGTAGCCCCAGCTGGTGACCCCGGTTAGCACCCACTGGCCAGACGGCTCCCTGCAGGCCAGGGGTCCCCCGGCGTCGCCCTGAAGGAGAGAGTGTGGTCAGGCCAGCAGCCCTTGGGACCAGGCGTGGCTCCCACAACTGAACCTCCGTTGGGCACCAGGAAGTACCCCAACTGAGAGGCTGCCGAAGAGCCTCGGTTTTGCTGTGAGGGAAATAGGTTGGGGACTGGCGTGTTTTGTAGATTCCTCCAGCCATCGCCCCAGGACCAGTGTATAGTGTGTGTGTGAGGCCAGGGCAGGCTGTCGGGTGGGCATCTTTATTGCTTTCCCCTCACGGGTCTTTGTGAACCTGGAAGGAGGTGGTGGCCGTCCTGTTTACCCACTCGTACACATAGCCTGTGACCCGGGAGGGATTGCTCTGAACCTGTGACGTCCTAGATTCAGAAGGTGAGCTGGGGGAGACTTGGGCAGGTTCAGTCGAAGGTGCTTGCCGCAAAAGCATGAGGCCCAAGTTAAACCCGAGAACCCACGGGAAAAGCCAGGTGTGAATGCGCCTGCTGCTAGCACTCAGGAGACAAACGGGATCCTGGGACTCCCTGCCTCAAAGAGGGTGCTGGGGTCACCCCGCGCTCCAGGAAGCAGGGGCAGGCGGATCTCTGAGTTCGAGGCCAGCCTGGTCTACAAAGCAAGTCCAGGAAAGCCAGGGGCTACACAGAGAAACCCTGTGTCGGGAAAAAACAAAAAATGAGGTGCAAGGCTTCAGGCCTGCCTGGGTTACCGAGAGAGCCGGTCCCTGCCCGCTCACCGAGCAGCTGTCCACACCACCCTGTGGAAAGCCCGCGCACAGCATGCGGCTGCTGATCTGCACCGGGTAGAAGCGCCGACACGTCTGCTCGCTAAGGACCCGCACCGCCGCCTTCTGCAGCTGCCTCGCCATGGAGCCTGCGGGTCCCGGAAGCGGGTGTGGGTGGGGGCGCCCCCCACCCCGGCGCGGCCCCTGGCGCGCGAGCGAGCGAGCGCGTGCCTACCTCCCTCGCGCAGGGAGCCCCAGCCGGTGATGACGCAGCGCGCGCCGTCAGGGGTCCGTGCCGGCCCCGGCAAACAGATGGGTCGCACCAGGCGGCTGCGGCGCACGGGCCCCGCCAGCTCCAGCAGAGCCACGTCGTAGTCCAGAGTGTAGAGGTTGTAGAAGGGGTGGCGGTAGATGCGCGCCACGCGCTCCAGCTGGCCCTCGGAGCCGCTCAGGAACGGGGTGCCCAGGAAGGCCGCCCACTGCATGGGGTCCCCATAGCTGCAGGGCACGCATGCGCGTGGGCAGTGTCACCACCCCCACGCCTGCCCGAGGCACCGTCCGTCCCAGCGGAAGTGGGAGGCACTGTCCCCTACCCAACTTAGGCGCACCCAGCCCCCCACCCCCTCCGGAGACCCGAGACAAGGTTCTTGACCCCTCTAGGTCACCCACTGGAAATGGGGACGTGGGCACACGCGCCCTGGAGTCCACACCCGCCTCAGCATTCCCACGAGGGCTCCTGGGGCTCAGCCTGCAGGGTGGAGCCTCCCTCCCGCCCCAGGACCTTCAGACGCAGCATGGGCCCATCTCATCTTCCCCTTCACCTTGTGCCCCACGGGCGCACATTGGGGGGCCTTGGGGAACCCTCCATGTCCAGCACCCGTCCAGGCAGGGCCGGCGCCGTCTGTTCCTTGGCACTGGGGACTAGGGCCAAGCTGCAGGGGTGGGCTGGGGAAGGGCAGGCAGACCCGCTCGCGGGGCGAGACTCACATGTCGAAGCAGTGTGCTGCAGACAGAAGCCACCTCTCAGCCACCAGTACGGCCCCACAGCGGTGCTCCTTGCGCCGCAGCCACAGGCTCACTTGCCATGGCCACTCCCCACGCGAGGCCGCGCTGCCACCCACGATCCGGGTCAGGGCCCCCGGGGGCGCCAGGCCGCAGTCTGGGGAGAGCAGGCTCGGTGAGTGTAGGGCAAACCCTCCTACATACCCCAACACTGAGAGCCCCCCCCCCCCAGCACCCACAGGCTGGCCTCTCAATGAATCCAGCACAGACCAGTGGTCCCTGGCCAGAGCCCTGTGGGAGGGGCAGAGGGCGGCTCCTCCTTCCCCATCAGGTGGGGTGTCCCTTCCTAGCCCAGCCTCAGCTAATGCAAAAGGAGCCCGGCAGAGAACTCTCCTGAGCCCACCCTCCTGTGCAGCTCCTTGCCTCCCTAAAGGCCTTAAGCTGAAGGCCAGGCTGGGAGGCCGGTGCTCTCATTGCCTGGCCTGGACTCTCAGGTGTGGAGAGGTGGGCGCATCCCCTTCCCCAGGGCTCCTGAGGGTTCTGGTGAAGGCCCTGCTGTGACCCCAACAGCCCACTGCCTCCTCGTGTGGCCCTGACCCCGTCCTCACTGGCCCAGCATGAAGGACCTAGATGTCACAGTGGCTGGCGTGATGAAAGGCAGGAGAAAGGTCTAGCCTGGGACCTTCTGGAACACACCTTGGGGCAGCATCCACATGGCGGGGAGTCCTTCACCAGCCCTGTCTATCTGGGGACACTGCTCCTCTTCTCATACCTCCCACAGATGCCCGGCGGTGCTGAGACCGAGCCACACGAAGCAGAGACCAGATACTCCCTACCTCTGCTGACCGTCTGCTTTCCTAGCTTTTGTAAAACTGTGGGGGTGTTAGCGCACATCTGTGTAGGCCGCCAGAATAGCCTTAGTGCGAAAGCAGTTCCCCTGTCTGGCCTTGCAGGACCACGTGTGTGGCGCCCACCCAAGCCAGCAGAGGCTTAACTGAGCCGCTGTGCCTCTCTCCGGCCCTGTTCTCTCCTCCTCCCTCTGGATCTTGCTCCTCTCTCTTCTCTTTCTTTATTTCATTTAAACATTCCTGAACATGAAGGCCAGAGCCTCAGCACTGGACCCCTGACCACGCCCCCAGCCCCTCACTGGGGGATTCCGGGCGGGGCTCCACCCTGACCACGCCCCCAGCCCCTAACTGGGGGATTCTAGGCGGGGCTCCACGCTGACCACGCCTTCATCCTTATAACTGCCGATTAGAGGCTGAGGCTTTCTCACTATGTTGGTCACTCTCACTCTCGCCCTGCAAGCCCCTCAGAGCCCAGGCTGGCCTTGGGTTTGTGATGCTCCTGTCAAATAGCTGAGATGACAGGTGTTTGTCATAAACCCA